GGCGGAAAAAAAAAAAAAAAAAGAAGAAAACAACCCTCACCATCAGGAACAACTGGATCTACAGTAAGTTGGTAGTCAGTCTTCTTCACACCATCTTTGAAGGTTGGGATGTTCTTTTCCTGCCTAAATCTGTACGCTGTTGGATACACAGTTTTTATCTGACCCACGTTGCGCTCCTCAAACTGCCTGAAAGACCACAACAGTTCAGATTAGAATGTACATCCTCCAACAATGGTAGAGCATTCCAACAGCCGAGCCGTGAGAAACTTACTTTCGCATCATATCCTGGACCCCTTGCTTCACCTTGGAGAAGGTGACTGTCTCTGAACGGTTGAAAAGCATGCTAACAATAGTGTCCATACTACGGAACATTTCAGCCAAAACTTTGTACTTGAATGGCAGGGACAGCCCAGGGGGGACATCCTCGGCAAGAGTATGGAAGCGCTGATAGGCCGGTGCCTTCTCACTGGAAAGAGAAATGGTTCTGTTAAGTACAAGCAAAGACCAATATTACACATCCAATATCGGATCTAAAAAACACACAAATGATCCAATTTCCTTGTGGTGAACATGAACAGTCTCAGCTGTATGTCACTTTGTCTGCAATTAAATCCAATTGAATAAAACGTCAGCAAGTTGTGACTCCCAATCAGAAAGTGACACCAATCATGAGATGTACTGGCCTCAAAAACATGCTTGTGGCGTAACATCAATACTTTCAAACATGCATGCTGCACAGTAGCTTACAATGCCAGGCTGCGGCAAACAAAGCGAGCAGAGTACGGTCTTGTATTAAGGGACTGTACTGTGGAGACAAAGCAATAGTTTTGCCACTTTATAGATCGCTGGTTCGGCCTCATCTGGAGTATGCGGTCCAGTTTTGGTCATCAATCCACAGAAAGGATGTCCTTGAGCTGGAGAGTCCAGAGAAGGGCAACGAAACTAATGAAGGGGATAAAGGACCAAAGCTTTGACAAGATTACTACATGTAAACTTGTTCATGTTAGAAGTGAGATTAAGAGGGGACATGATTTTAATGTACAAAGTGTTTGGGGGTGACGGCATCATCAATAAACTGTTTACAGTAAACTCTGTAACAGACTAGAGGCCACCATCTAAAATCGGTGGAGAAAAGATTTAACCACAAGGGGCTTCTTTTCAGTCAGAGCGGTTAAAGTCTGCAACAAGCAGTGGTATCAGCAGACAGTATTGAATCATTCAAAAAGCATTTAGATACCTTCCTCAGAGACCGCAACATACAGGGGTACAGGTACTCTTTAAAAACAAGATAACACAAGCCAACTGGTATTGTCAGCAGTGGCAGCCTTTATGATTCACGACGGGTCTCCTTTAAGAAATGGCTTGCCATGTTGCAGCAATTTACCAGCATGGCCATGACACATCAGCAGGTTATAGCATAACCAATGCATTTGCTGCATTTTAAATGCTGTGAATGCAAGTCACATGCAGCATCTGGCTAACATTTCATCAGTTGTAATTAGGCATCAACCTACCACTGCAGTCTGACAGATTCAATTGGAGCTGAAATCTCACCTCTGGTTTGCTGCCTCCTCCACTGGCTCAGCACTCTGGATAGCCGACTTCTCTGCAGATTTCTTCTCTCTGATCTTGGTTTCAAGCTCTTGAGCTTGTTTGAGTCTTGCTTTCAGGTCAGTGATAGTAACTTTGCTCTCTGCAGTCTTGACAGGAACCTTCAACTTTTCAGAAATTTCCTGAATCCTCTGCAGTCGAGATTTGAGCTCCACAAGGTTCTCCTTTGACTGAGTCTACAGGAAAAACAAATTGGCAACATCGATATGTTAGAGAACCATGAAGTGAGTGTTTTTCACTCATCCTCATAGTTAGAGCCGACCTGTGACAAAAGAAGCTGTCACAGGTCGGCCCTTTATCAGGATGTGAGCAGAAACATGCAGCGATCTGCTCACTTTCCCATCATCTCCCCCTCTCCAATCCTCCAGCGCTGGGGAGGGGGCGGGCACAGCTGGCTCTGCCTCTAGAAAGGCAGAGCCAGCTGTCACTCACGCAGCTTGGTGGATCTTGACAGTATTGTCGGGATCATTCCTGGATGCGGCGCTCAGTATGTCGCAGGCAATAGCTTGCTGTATACTAAGCTCTGGGTCACAGGAGGTTAGCGTATGTCCTCCCGTGACCCTAAAGAGAACTGTGGGGAAAAACCACTTACCCCGTAGTGCTCCTTTAAATACATTGAGCACAACTGAAAACCAATATGGTGACACTCAATGAAAAAAACTTACATGTCAGCTGAACAATGCCTGCAGCCAGATGCAAGCACTGTTTGGGTATTTTGACAGGAACAGGCACTGCTGACAATAAAATACACAGGAGACTTGTCAATATATGCCGTTAGCCAACACGGAAGAACAATTCTTCTGCCGTGTCCATTGTGTTCCGACAGCGGCACCCACCACAATACTGAAACATTGGCTGAAAACGTTCAGCCGACAACTTTCAAGCATGTACCTTTGACAAAAGTCAAACGGTCAACGATGGGGCCAACCACAAATAAAATTTCAGCCGATTCCTGCAGAAATGGACAAAACTCAGTTTGCACCCGGCTTGGCACAAGACAAACATCTACAACACAAATTGTTACCTTGCCATCAGACACTGGGCTACTCTTCAAGACATTCTTAGGTGAGAGGCTCACATTCACCAAGTCCTTTATCTTCTTGCCCAGGGATGGCGGGGTCACACACTGGATCTCAGATTTGGAGCATAGACTGGCACACTGAAAATAAAGAGATAAGAAAGGTTACCAGGTAAATGGCTCAAATTAAGAGGCAGATAAAGAGTTCCTGCATCAGAGAGGGGAATCTACATCAATCAGGCCATCTGAACTCACAGGATCCCCCAAATCACAACCAGCAATCCCACAAGGTCAGAATATGGAAGTGCATTTGATTCAGAGATTTCTGATTGGTTGGACACAGAAGGTCTGACATTGCATCAAGCCATTTCCTGCTCAGGTTTGGATAAAATAGGGACGACAATAGTACCCTGAAGAGTCATGGTGGAGGAGAGCAGTGGCAAGAATAGACTATGATGGAAGCCATACTAGTAATACACAGAAGGATCTGTTAGTCCAGGGAGGAGGATGGGCACTACCATGGCAAGCAGAGGTCAGGATGACAGAAGCAGACCTAGCAGTACACAAGGTGAGGATAGGAGCAGTAGAAGTATTAACTGTTGGGTGATGGGAGTAGTGGTTAAAAATAAGAGTGGTAGTATTAACTGGTTACAGATGGCAGTAGGCAATGGCTGATGGGAGCAGTAGTAGGATTGTAAATGCAGGACGACAGTGGAGAGCATAAGCCATGATGGAAGCAGCAATAGTACACAAGTGTCTAGGATTTCAGAGAGTAGTGGTAAGTGGAGGATGGGAGTAGTAGTGGGAGAGCAGTTATGTGTATAAACCACAACTGAAGCAGTACACAGGAGGAGGGTCTAGACAGGGTGTAATGGTAAATGGAGAAGGATGGTGGTAGTAGTGTGTATAGGTCATGATTGAAGCAGTACACAAATGAGGTGTGATGGTAAAGAGGCTAGGAGTAGTGGCCAGTGGAGGATGATGGTGGTAGTAGTATAGGTGGTGTGTATAGGTCATGCTTGAAGCAGTACACAAAGGAAAGACAGGGTGTAGTGGTAAAGGGAGGATATGAGAAGTGGAGGAGGATAGGGGGTAGTAGTGGTGTGTATAGGTCATGATTGAAGCAGTACACAAAAGGAGGGTAAGGGTGTAGTGGTAAATGGAGGATAGGAGAAGTGGGAGAGTGGCAGTGTGCATAGGCCATGATTGAAGCAGTATTACAAGTACACAGAAGGGTCTGGGGGTGCAGAGGTAAATGGAGGATAGTAGTGACAAGGGAGGGATGATGAGAGTAGTAGGAGGGCAGTGTATCGGCTACGATGGAAGCTATACTAGTAGCACACGAGTCAGGCTATACCTGCTCTTCCTCCTCCGGCAGTCGGAGCTTCTTGCGGGCGGACCTCTTAATGACCACATCGGGTCGGAACAGTTCGGAGGTGTCGCTCTCCAGGCGAGCCCTCTTTTTCCCGCTAGGCCTCAGTGATGAGGGGGGCTCGGTGTTCGCGGGTCGCTCCGGGGTTGTGGGCGGCTTCAGCAGATCCTCCAACTTCTTGCTGCGGGTCACTGTGCGTGGCCCCTCGGCTGCCACCTGCACCTTCCTGCGCTTACTCTCCAGGGGCCCCGCCGCCCGCTTACGCTGTCCGAAGTAATCCGTCACCCGTGCCTGCGCCATTTCAGAAGCCCCAAACACGACTACAGCTCTCCACTTTGAGAAATCCGCGAAACGACCTGAGGTCACCCCTCCATCTGGTGACGTCCCAGCTTTTACGTGCTCCTATTGGCCGGACTCTTTGGGACGGCTTGGCCGGGGAACTCGGGTTTCGCGGGCAAAATCAGCCACGTGACCGGCAAAATGGAACGAACCATTATTCCGGGGGGAGTTCAGGGAGTTACTTGGTAAAACCCTCACAACCCTCATGCTGACTTGCAGCTGTTGTAACGTGTTGTTCACTTTGCAGATACACATTACAAAAGGTAAAATGATCGTTACTATCATTTTATGAGAAAAGAACGTACAAGGAAAAGTAATAGGTTGTCAAAAATGAAGTCGTAAACATACCAAAAATAAATATATATATAATAAATATAGTGAGGGGAATTTTTCAAGACTGGAGCAGACATAATCTGGAGCAGCTGTGTATGGCAACCAATCAGTTTCTCTCTCTCTCTCATTTTCATATCTTAACTGAACAAACTAAAGAGAGAAAATGATTGGTTGCCATGGACAAGTGTGTGTGTGTATATATACATTGTGCCCATTCACACAACACACAGTAGTGCATTATTGTGCTTTGCAGTACAGCACAGGTACATTGGGGTACCGTTCAAAACAAATGGCATTGCAGTGCACCAGCGCATGTGAGGCGTATTGCTGCAGGTTTCCTTCATGCATGCGTTACTGTAAGGCCCGGTTCACACCTGGGCGTTTTGTAGCACGTTCTTACGCTCTGCAAAACGCTCAAACACCGAAATCCCATTATTTCCTATGGGTATGGTTCACACCTGGGCGTATTACAGGCCGTATGAACTCGCTACAAAACGCTCTACGCCCAAAGAATTACATGAGCTTCTTTGGGCGTTTTTGTCGCGCGTTTCCATTGGGATACAGCCAAGTAGCCCTCTGAAACGCGCGTTTGTCGCGTGTTTGTTTTTACAGCGAAACGCACGACAAACACGCATATTCGATACGCCTTGGTGTGAACCCAGCCTAACAGATAGGTGTGAAACAAGCCCAAGAAAACACTTAGGCCCCGTTCACATGTAGCGACTTATCGTGCGATTTCCGCCGCAATATCGCGCATTTTTGCCGCGCGATATCGCGAGAAGTCGCCGGCCAATGCTATTCAATGGAGCTGTCTTAACTCCATGTCGCGTGTCGCTCGACGCGGTCGCAAGTCGCTTCTACCGGACCCTTTTTTCGGCGGATTTTGCGCGATCTTGCTTTTTTTCTATGGAGCCCGACGGAGAAGGTCGCGCTACCGTCGCCCCGAAAGTCGCGCTATCCCGGCCGCTGCAAAGGTATGTCGCTACATGTGAACGGGGTCTTAGATTTAGTCACAAAGACTATTTGAGAACGCCAAACTCTTCCCACCGCCACTTACATGGATCTGAACTCCAGGGGCCAGTAAGAGCGGCTCCAATCATGATTGGTTGTCACAGTGATCACATGATTGGGAGCCTGTCCCGTCCTTGCTGTTGGGCCCGAAGGCCATCATCATGGGCCCTTATTGTGTGCCACTAAGCTGAGGTCTGAAGGGATGGTATATGGAGGGAGGAGGGCTGATCTGAGGTCTGAAGGGGTGGTATATGGAGGGAGGAGGGCTGATCTGAGGTCTGAATGGGTGGTATATGAATGGAGGAGGTAAGGAGGGCTGATCTGAGGTCTGAAGGAATTAGTTGTGGAAGAAAGGCTGATCTAAGGTTTAAAGGTATAATTTATGCAAGGGGGATATGAGGTCTGAATGGATACTTTGTGGAAGGGGGGGGGGGGGGATCTGAGGTCTGAAGGAGTCATTTGTAGATTTGCAGAATGGAGCCTGACCTGAGGTCTGGAGGGATCTGAGGTATAAACGGGATCATTTGTAGAAGGAGTCTGTAGAAGGAGGAGCTGATCTAAGGTGTGAACTGGATAATTTGTAGAACAGAGTCTGATCTAAGGTGTGTGTTGTAGAAGGAGGGGCTGATCTGAGGTCTGAAGGGGTTATTTGTAGAAGGGGTCTGATCTGTATTCTGAAGGGGTTATTTGTGAAAATGGGGCTTTAACCCCTATGGTCAATATCAGGGTTCTGCAAATGGTGGGCCATGGTCCGGACACGGACCGAGTGACTGTTCTGTTTGGTCGCCAATGAACCTGGTGTGCTCTTGTGTAGTCATTGGTTGCTAAAACTGCTGCGTTCCTAGCAACCAATGACGTCTGTGTTCCCCGCCGAGCACTGAAGGAGGACAGAAGAGTATCTTCCATCCCCTTCAGCCGCCTGTAGCCACCTCCTGGCCTCTGGCACTTGCCGATCCCTGCTTCCCAGCCTCTCGGCTCCTCCCTGTTCTACCCCCATCAGAGTGCCCCCTTACATCAATTGCCCCATCAGAGTCCCCCTTACATTAATTGCCCCATCAGAGTCCCCCCCTTACATTAATTGCCCCATCAGAGTGCCCCCTTACATTAATTGCCCCATCAGAGTGCCCCCTTAAATATTTTTTCCCATCAGAGTCCCCCTTACATTAATTGCCCCATCAGAGTGCCCCCTTACATGAATTGCCCCATCAGAGTGCCCATTTACATTATATTCAAAACATAAAATGGCACTTTGGTGCGTTCGTGCTGATTTGTGCTGCAATAAATAAACGTTTGTGCTGCTTTGGTTTTGGAGATATTATGTGTCACCAAACCACACTGACAACCTGGGGTCGCAATGTGCGTTCGAAGTGTCGATGATCGACTAGCTGCGTTCTTCATCGACGCGCGAGCCGAGTGATCCACCACGGTGGCGTCCTGCACAGGAGCCGACCTCATTAATGATTCTTCCGCATCCTTACGATTTCTTGTTACAACTTTTACTTCCTCTTTATAGTTGAGATGCTGATCCGAGGTCCTCTAAACCATCCAATCGGTAGTAGCGACGGGCGGTGTGTACAAAGGTCAGGGACTTAATCAACGCGAGCTTATGACCCGCACTTACTGGGAATTCCTCGTTCGTGGGAAATAATTGCAATCCCCGATCTGTATCACGAACGGGGTTCTGCGGGTTACCTGCACCAGTCGGCAAAGGGTAGGACACATGCTGGTCCGTTCAATGTGCCATACGTGCAGCCCCGGACATCTAAGAGCATCACAGACCTGTTACTGCTCGATCTCGTGTGGCTGAACGCCACTTGTCCCTATAAGGGCTCAGTCACACTAGATGCAGTGCGTTCTGCCTCGCATTGCGGCCGGCTCACTTTTTAGTGGGGCAGGAGGGGGCGTGGCGGGCCATTCAAGTGAATGGCACCGTAGCCACACCCTCCGGCCGCAATGCGATCTGCCGCGATCTGCGATCTGCCGCACGTGATCGCAAAGCACATTGTGCCTGCGGTCCGGTCCTGTGCGGTCCAAATAGTGCTTGAATGAATGGCCTGCCACGCCCCCTCCTGCCCCACTAAAAAGTGAGCCGGCCGCAATGCGAGGCAGTGCGTTCCGGCCAAAATCGGGCCGGAACGCACTGCATCTAGTGTGAATGGGCCCTAAGAAGTTGGACGCGGACCGCCGGGGTTCGCGTAACTAGTTAGCATGGAGGAGTCTCGTTCGTTATCGGAATTAACCAGACAAATCGCTCCACCAACTAAGAACGGCCATGCACCACCACCCACAGAATCGAGAAAGAGCTATCGATCTGTCAATCCTTTCCGTGTCCGGGCCGGGTGAGGTTCAGCAACTATAATGTGCAATATCTCCAAAATCAAAGCGGCGCAAATGTTTATTTTTGCAGCACAAACGAATGGCGTGTTTGTTTTTAAAATGTAATAACACAGGGTGCAAAGTGGGTGGGGTTTCAGCAACTATGCTCAATATTTCCAAAACCAAAGCGGCACAAACGTTTATTTTTGCAGCACAAACGAATGGTATATTTGTTTTTCAAATTCAGTAACACAGGGCGCAAAGTGGGCGGGGCTTGAGTTAAATTGAATGTCTAATATCTCAAAAACCCAACAGACACAAACACTCGTTTTGCGCCACAACAACGCAGCGCAAACGAATGGTACACTTTTATTTAGGTTTTACATACATGGGATGCCAACTTCACACAGCTGAAGGTTTGTCTTTAGCGCAGTGCCTGTGCTGCGTATATATCATGAACGATTGACTGATCAAGTTAACTTGTTGCCTGGAGTTTTCCTTTAATTAAATGCCATGTGTCAGCAAGCGAGTGCAGCGCGCAGCAGGCGGGCTCACTAGTGCGTGCTCCTGTGATCCATCTCCTCGGACTCTCCAATCACAGGGCTCCATTGTTCTAGTTTGAGCCTCTGCCAACCTCCTGACCGTCCTTGTGGTTCTCATCTGATTGTTCTGTGTGGAGGGACAGGAAGGGGGCACAGCTACAGGACGCAGGCCTTTGATGTCCTGTGCCAATAACTTATGAACACTTAAGCAAACACTCTCAGAATTATGCTAAACAAATATTTAAGTTCTATTATGCTGAGCTTGACCTTACATAGACATTATACTGCGGCTCGGTTGTGTAAATAGACAATATGGGTCTTTGGAATGCTTGAAGTTAAACTCCGGGGAATGGAAAAATGTCCCTTTGTGTTGGGGTTCTCCCCGCCTTGCAAAGGGTTAAAGGAGAATTATGAGGCGAGCGATTTTCACTCAGCCTCATAATCTGAGCCGACCTGTGACAATGAAACTGTCACAGGTCGGCTCAATAGATCGAGAAGTGAGTGAACACATACCGTCACTCGCTCACTTCTCGATCTATCCCTGCAGAGAGCCGTGACTGTCACTCACGGCTCCCAGCAGGGATTCCCCCGCTCCGTTCCTCCAGCGCTGACTGGAGGAACGGACGGGGGATAGGCAGAGCCAGCTGTCAATCACAAAGTTGGGTGGATCTCGACTGCAATGTCGGGATCCGTCCCGGCTGCGGCGTCTCAGTATACCGCAAGCTTTAGTTCGCAGTATACTGTGCTTGGGTTGACGGG